CACAGCCAGAGGTTCTTGAAACCATAGTCATATCCTGTTCATCTGCAAAGCTCAGACCCTGGGGATAGAAGAGGCAAGAGGTGGAAGATAAGCACCAGCCTCACTACACGTGGGAGCAGTTTGATGCCAGGCAGCGTTCAATGTTATGACATGAGCGGACCTGAGTCCCTTCCACAGGATGTGGTTCAGCTCCGACAGGGGCTTCGCTGTGATACAGAATGAAGCATTGCTCCCTAGGTGCCTGCTGTTTGCTTCCAAGTTTATAACAACACCAGCCTCACTTGGAAAATGGAATCAAAACAAATGATCTGTGTTTGCCCCTCTTGTGTTTGGCCCTTGAGGAGATTGGCCGAAATGGATGGAATGGCAGGGACAGATGTCTCCCCGCCCCCATTGTTTCACTGTTTTCAGTATAAGCTAAGCTGAGCCCTCTCTGTGCCTCTGTCATGGTGTTGACGTTTCACTTAATGGAAGGGATTTTCTGTGGCCTCATGGGATGAGATTGTAAAGGGGACCCTATGCTCTTCTTTGTTATGACCAACATGCAGCCCTTTGGACAGCGAGTGGCCATCATGTGTGACAGTGATTATCTACCTACTAAGATGTCATTGGAAAAGGCTGACAGTTCTGAGTCCCTGAGATGCACTCAGTGATTACTCGCAACATTCACTCCATTGAGCACTCGCATGCCAGCTGCATGTCTGCTTTGCTCTTATAGAAAATGTCGATAATATGATCCACCATCAAAGTCAAGGCTGAGAGCTGGTATGAAATCAGAATTATTTTGCTTAAAGGCATTATTTTAAAGATTGTTCAATAAATCCTTCTGTAGTCTAAATGAAAATTAAAGGAAATATTTTAATATCCATTTTATAAAGAGTTGCAGATTGTTAACATGCCATAGGTCAGTATTCAATAGCTTTGGGTGATGGTGTGACTTTAAATGGAATAGGCTATAAAACTAGGAGGGAAATCAGAGGGAGGAAGGAAGAGAGAGGAAAGCTCATAGCAAACATTTGACTTCCTCCAGCCTAATATGCAAATTGACCAAATGGCAGAACAACAGTGGAATGACCAGTCACTATGACATGCACTGACCACCAGAGGGCAGACACTCAATGCAGGAGCTGCCCCCAACCTGAGGCCCCAATCCAGCCAAGGTGGGTGCCAGTGGGGACCCCTAGATCACACCGCTGGTTGCCCTGCAGAGAGGGAAGTGATCTGCAGTGGTAGGGGCCCCCAATTGCCCCACTGATCTTCCCTGATTGCCAGCCTGGCGTAGGGACCCTATTTGTGTACTGGGACTCTAGTTTATAATAAATGCTTTAGTTTGAAAAGTTGAATATAATTCATTCATCTATTAGCACACATTTGATGGATGCATACTATGGGTTGGGTACCATTTTAGAGATCTTATCTACTAATTGATTCCTTTCTTTGTTATTTGGCTAATCTTTTAACTCACTTATGTAATTTGGATGGAACCTGAAAGTATAGTTAGTGTCTCCCTGATAAAGGAGGAATATTAACTCTGATTTTATAATTCAGTGAACCTTTGAGGCCTTTACAAAGAAACAATGAATTGTATTAGCATTTATTTAAAAATTTTGCCTGCAAAAAAAAATGAAATAGAAAGTATAAATTGGTTTTGTAGAACAATTTATATGTACTTCACTTTAGACAAACAAATATTTGGAGGAGAGGGAAGTGAAGTTTATATACACACATGTATATATATTCACACATACGCTTCTCCATAGGATTAACTTATGGTGCCATCTGCCACTGAAACATTCAGTGTCGTCCATCCATTACTGTTTTCAAAGTTTGAATCAAGAATGAATGTTGAATAAATTACATCATGGAGTTAATGTGTTCATTCTGTGATAGATTGTTTTTTTTTATGAAAGGTCCATAGTGCCTCTTGGTGGATTTAAAATAAAACTATATTCTTAGAAAACTTTCTTTAAAAATAAATGCTAAATGGTGCTCTGTTGCTATGCTCTCCTTTTACATTCATGATAAATATTGCCAAGATTCTCCTTGCTTCCATTAGGAATAATTATTGCTTTCACCTGGATTGACTTTGGCAAGTTATGTTTAGACAATATGAAACATTTCAGTCAGATCCTTTGACCAATACAACTTTTGGCTTCTAGATAATTGTCTACTTCCATCTTTCTCAGAAGGACACTGAATACGGAGAATGAGGGTGGGAACGGGGGAATGCAGAGTCTGGCCAGGTAGCCATCTATAATTCAGTTTCAACCTTTTAAGGATATGCATAACTAAACTATCTCAACTCTACTTTCAAATTCACTATAAATAAGAAAGCAATTTTAACAGGGTTGACTACTTCTGGAATGCAAACTGGGTAAACGTCTAAAGAAATGGCTCCTTAAAATATAGAGTATCGAGTTTTTAAAAAAATCTAGTGTCTTCTGTGCAAATCTCTTTCTTCCCTTTAAGATATCCAACACTGGGTTCAACCACACGATTTTCATTAGCTGGACTTTTGACAAGTTGAAAACTGAAGAAAACCTTTAGGCCTATGGTATAAAACTGGTTGTTATGATCACAATCCCCTGGTTCATTGTTCTCATAAATACTGTTTCCAAGTTTTTTTATATTAAAAGAAAATGTGTTTTTAATTGGCTTTATTAAGAATTCAGATTTTAACATGTAGTAAATTTGTTTCAGTGGATGCTATCTATATGTCAAGCACATTGCTTGGTAATTACGTCAACACTGAGAAAAGCACTCACACATTCAGGTGGGAATGGTGGGGGAAATGGAGACTTTTGTGCTGTGATGCTTGCCTTTTGTGGTTTGGGATTATACTCAAAAATATTATGCTAAGTGAAATAAGTCAATCTGAGAAAGACAAATATCACATGATCTCATTTATTTGTGGGATCTAATGACAAAAATTAATTGACCGACAAAATAAGATTTGAAGCAAGGAGGCATGGAACAGACTGACATGCCTTGATGTAGGGTTAGGAGGGCTAAAAGAGATAAACCAACGAACTTATCGATATATACTTACTAGTGACCCAGTGCATGAAATTTGTGCACATGAAAAGGGGATTAATTAGAGTAAATAATTTAATATTGCTATTTGCCCTTACTCTATAATAGAAGTGTCAAAGATGAAAGAAAATTAGTAAAATGTATATGAAAATCTTCCTTCTATCAGAGTCTGGGGCTCACCATGGGACCCAGAGTTAAGTCCCCACCCACCCACATGCACCTTAAAATCGCGTGAGAACCAGACCCTGCCTGCCCCCACCTCCCTCCCTCCCCCCTCCCCCCCCCCCCCCCCCCCCCCCGCCAATTAGGCTAGATACAGATCCAGCCTGTCCCACCCTTGTCAAGCCCTGCTGAGCAGGGGGCGTAGCCTCAGGTCCCCTGGCCCGGAGCCAGGATGAGGGTTGTAAATATGCCTTGAGGTCCTCTGTAATACTATCAACAATAAAAAAAAAATTTTTTTAAACCTTGCATTTGCAAAGTGAACAGATACTTAAGAAGCAAAAGAGATGCTGTTGATTGTATTGGTGTCTGAAAGTTGGTAGTGTATGGTTGGGAGACTATAAAGAATTGTGTGACAAATGGAATATAAACATGAAGCAGTGTGACTTCATTTTTTAAGTTAATTGCAGCTTACAGCAGTGGTCATCGTTCCTTTTTGTCATTCCTTATAAAGACCTTGTTAGTTTTATGAAGAAATTGTGACTCATATAAACCAGAAGTACGTTCCGGAGAGAAATCAAGTTCCTGGATTTTAAAACACAAACCACTTAGTTGGGAGAATTAACATTTTCAGATGACAAAGCCTTGTTGTTTAATTAAATCCTTGTTACATTTAGTAGTTTGGCAAGCACAATATCGTTCTTTTTAATCCATTAACAATTTCCTATTATAACTACAAAAAAACAACTGTATGGTGTGTGCAGAAGTAACATTTGGGTCATCTAGCTTGCCTAGATTTACTGGTTAATTATCTTACATTGTGTTTACTCAGGCCATGTACATGCTGATCTTTACTCAGACATCTCTTCTACTTTACACAAATGTCTGCATGCAAACTAACAAGAAATCTCCTTTTCTGTTTTAACCCTAATATTTGCCATCCTAGATCATTACTCCTATATTCTAAGCCAGATTAACTTCTGTTCTAGATTTAACAAAATAATTTTACTCAGAATCCGTCACATTCGTCACCTCTTAAGATCTTGTCATCTCTTCAGCTTCTTGCCTAACTCTCACAAATATACTGAGCGTCTGTGCATTCAATTGCTTTTTTATGGTTCTTCAGATTATTTTCATCTCTTTCTAAAAGAAGGCCGATCAGCTCATTGCTGTATACTTCTTCTTTTGCCAAACCATCATTCTTTTCTTGTTCTCAACCTCCCTTCCCTCCCTTCCTCTGAATGACCCTGTTCCCTCCTTTTGGCGCTAGCTGCCACTTCACATGCTCAGGAACCCTCTAATTCTGTGTGTCTTCATTTTCCTGCAGTACTAATGCTCTGTCATCTGCTTATCTGAAATATAACATTTCTCTCATTTCCTTTGTTCTTCTACCTGATTATTCTTAGTGCTCATGGAGCCGTTTTATTCCCTCTTTGTCTTCCTGTTACTGATATCCACTGATACTTATTTGTCAATGAATGAAGCTGACAGGCAAATAATTTGCATACTCTATTTGCATATTTCTTACTAGTTGTTGCCTTCATGTGCACTCTAGTTCAATCCTCTCAATCCTAAGATGTGGGTGAGAAAGTATATCCCTCTTTTAGAGGAGAGGAAACCCATGTCCAGGGCATTTTAAATAACTTGCCCCACAGCTAAACCCAGGTTAGGACGAAGGTCTACCGACTCTTTCTGCTGTACCATGCCATATCACCTCTCTCTGGCAGAAGGACTGCAATCCACTGAAAATCTTCACTGCGTTCGAAACTGGATGGAAATTAACCAAACCCTTCATTGTACCTTTGCAGATGAGAGTCCCTACACTAAGTCCGCCAGCCAGACAAAGCCGCCTGATGGAGCATTGGCTGTGAGGAGACAGAGCATCCCAGGTTAGACCAGATTGTTGGATTTTTCAGCTGTTTGAAGTTTGAACCCTGTTATTTGGTGACCCCAAATAATCCCACCGTGGTAATAAACATGATGCTGTTCCATAGGGTATAGACTGCATTCTGTACAACTTGTTCACAGAAAAAAAGAAAAGAAAAAAGAAAGCTAGACTGGGAAAGCTTGCAAACTTGTGAGAATTCACTTTGTGTGCAAATTCTTTGTGAAATGGCCTGAATTTGTGTCGGCTCTCACTCATTTTCCTGCTCTCACCTCTGTTTTCAGGGGATAACTTTCACAGAAGCATCTATTTCTTTGCTGAGATATAACCAGCAGAACAAAGAGGCTCAAAATTGCAGTAGCAGATTATGTATGTGCTGAATAAAAATCATTCCTATATTCTTTGCTCTTTGAACCTGGACTTACTTCCATGGGACAACTCTTGGGAAATTCTGGAATTTCATTTCCTTAGGAAGCTGTGATGAGGATTCTTGCAATATTTAAGTGACACCTGTCAACAAAAACATTTTGAGAGCTATCTTCAAACGTCTTTACCCCTGAACTTCAATATTTTAAAGCTTTGACTTTGATGATAACATACCTTCTAAAGTTAAAGGCAGAAGGATATTCAAAATATTATTTAAACTTCATCTGAACTAGGTAATTTATGGAAAATCACTATGGAGGCAACCGTACTTAAGGGAAGGGTTAAAAGCACTAATGCATTAGACATTTATGAAAAATAATGTCTTTGTATATTTAATACAAGTAAATTGAGTACACCTAAACCTACAGGATTTTAGAATATATTAGATTTAGCAATTCAGGAGAAGCAATGCAGTGTTCTCAACAGTAAATTGAATGGGTTGGCCTATCAGTGAAAGGGGGAATCTTTCATTCGAATAAAGAGAAAGATGAGTTTCATTCAGAGCAGCCCTGTTTGTGATTATTAGTTATTTGTATAAGAACTACATGTAGTCATGTTCATTCTTATTCTGAAGGCTTAGGTTCATTATGAAAGTACATGGCTTATAAAGGGGCATGTTGTGAATATGTTATGCATCCTTGTCTGTGTGCTTTAAAGATGCTAAAGTAATTTGAATTCAGTAATTAGGTGGCATCCCGCAGTCCTGAGACTTCTTCAATTTCATCCTAGAAAACATCAATCTTAGTGCTGGTCACATTAAAAAAACTATTGCAGTTAGCTATGGGCTGTGTTCTCTGTTTTCTCCTTGTCAGCATCAAGGAAGTACAAGGTTTGAAGTTCAAGAATGCTAGCTACTGCCGAAACCGGTTTGGCTCAGTGGATAGAGCGTCAGCCTGCGGACTAAAAGGTCCCAGGTTCAATTCCAGTCAAGGGCATATACCTTGGTTGCGGGCACATCCCCAGTAGGGGGTGTGCAAGAGGCAGCTCTCTCATAGATGTTTCTAACTCTCTATCCCTCTCTCTTTCTCTCTGTAAAAAAATCAATAAAATATATTAAAAAAGAAAGAAAGAAAAGAAAAGAAAAGAAAAGAAAAGAAAAGAAAAGAAAAGAAAAGAAAAGAAAAGAAAAGAAAAAAGAATGCTAGCTATTGCCAAAACCGGTTTGGCTCAGTGGAGAGAGGATAGGCCTGCAGACTGAAAGGTCCTGGGTTTGATTCTGATCAGGGGCATGTACCTTGATTGCGGGCACATCCCCGGTAAGGGATGTGCAGGAGGTGGCTGATCAATGTCTCTCTCTCATCAATGTTTCTAACTCTCTATCCCTCTACCTTCCTCTCTGTAAAAAATCAATAAAATATATAAAAAATAAAAAAATAAGAATGCTAGCTACCCATCCATTCTTTCTTGTCTTCTCTACATTAGCTGGCACTCTATACTCCTCTGTTGGGGAGAATGAAGAGAATGACCACTGTCTTTACCACATTATATGACATAAAACAAAAGCACTGACTGTCATCATGTTTTCCTTTCATGGGTTCGCTAATGGTGTACACTAAATTACCACACATGTCTGAAGGCCAGGCTTTTCCTTAAAGTCACAGAGTAGTTTTAAAAATTACATATTAGCTATACAGAAGTCATTCATCATAATCCTTGGTTCATGACACTTAAGTGATTCTTCACAGTGTAAGTTTTCCTTTTGTTCCTCCTTATAACAGTTTAAAAGTCACTGCAATCACAAGCCTGTTTTGTAGGCTTCATGGATGATTTTCCAAGCACGAACACCTTTTGCCCAACTCTCATAAGATAGTGGGCCAAAGGGCCAAAGGTCTTCAAAATCTCCTCAGTTGTTTAGAACGGTCCAACGAAAAAAACCCCACCAGCCACAGAGCGAAGGCAACAAAGTAGTTAATAGCTGATTATTACTCTTTTTGTTTGGCCTACATAAGGTTTTTTTTTTTTAATTTGAATGAAGAGCCAATATTTAAAATGTGTGAGATAGTAAAAACTAGAGATTTCTGGCTTTTCTTTAAAAAATAAAAGGAAGGAGGAAATGTATCAAGAGTAGGAGAATGTGGGTCCAGTTTTGTCATATTTTCACTAGATCTTCTCTATGCATTTTTTCTTTTTTATTTAATTTATTGGGGTGACATTGGTTAACACAATTATATCGGTTTCAGGTGTACAATTCTATGATAAATCATCTGTATATCATATTGGGTTTTCATCACCCAAAGTCAAGTCTCCTTTCATCACCATTTATTGTACTTCACCCTTTCTACCCACCTCCACTCACCTTTCCCTCTGACACTATTACTATTACTATTACTGTTACTATTACTATTACTATTACTATTACTATTACTATTACTATTCTCTTGAGAAAATCAAGAAACTTCTTGGATGCTTCCTAACTGACTTTTGACACTTGGAATCCTGAACCCTTACTGTCATTTTAAAATTACCTATTGTTGCCCTGGCTGGGGTGGCTCAGTTAGTGTGGCTGAAAAGTTGCCAGTTCAATTCCATATCAGGGCACATGCCCAGGTTGCAGGCTCAGTCCCCAGGAGACAGCTGATTGATGTTTCACTTTCTCTAAAGAAAAAAAAATCAATAAAAACCTTTTTTAAAGTACCTATTCTTTTTTCTGACAAAAGGAAGTCTTCCCTGACCTTTGGCCAAAAAGTCACTTAAAACAAAGAGATCTTAGCCCATTACCTACCATGTCTACCTTTACCCCTACTAAGTCCACAAAAGAGAAGTGGAAAGAGGAAAAGGCCAGGGAAAACACAGTCTTTATTATTTTCTGGAGCTTCAGCGGAAAAATCCCAGAGTTCTAATGAACTAAATTGGACCACATGGGGCTGTAAGAGCAAAAATGCATGTTTATAGCCTTTGATTCTCTCTCCTGTGCTCACATCCCATCTTACTTCCCTCAAAGATGGTATGACTACCCTGGGAGCAAGGAAAGATGTGTCTGGAGAAAAGTGCACCAAAGAAGTGAAAGAGGCAGAAAGCAAAGCTCAGCTCACCTACCAACCCCTGCATCTTCCCAATGCAGAGGCCCCTCAGTACAGAGGCAGGCTCAGGGTGTTACCGTGCCCCGAGACTGGGGAATAAGCAAACACAAGGAGCTGAAACCTCAAAGGATCTATATCTTTTCCTCACATGTCCCCACAGTTCCACTCCCAGTGATCCAAGGATGGTGATTGAATTTGACCACTGACCACTTTTTCTGATGGAAGGGGGTGGGGAAGTGGAGGGTAGTAGAAGGATTTTAAGCTTCTCTGTCCGAGTTTTATGAAAGCTTAGGCTGCTCTTTGAAACTTATGTAGACCTACAAATGTAGACCTGCTACTCCTGAAGTAAGAATACATAAGATTTCTTAACATGGGCTCTACATTTTCCATAACATAATAAGCAGTACCATTTTATAATTCTGTCTCAAAAAGGTAATCTTGAATATTAACAGAAATATAATTTGCTTTTCATTCATATCAAAATTCACTACCCTTGTCTAAACTCAAAATTACTATGACAATTATTTTATAATCACAAGTCAAATATGTGCCTACATTGAATGATAATTCTAAGTATAAATCCCTTCATCACCCTTCCTTTGTTCTTCTAAAAAAGAGAATGGATTAAACATCCCTTAGGAACAAAGTACATTTGCTTTGGGTAAAGGAGAAATGCATTATTCATGTTATTTGGAAACTCGTCATTTTAATCATGTCTTTTATGGTATAAAGTGACTGAGAAAAAAAGATTTTTACTCTTTCCTAAGTTTTTGTAAAATTTTTAATGATGCTATTTTAAAAAATGTCAAGTGTCCATATGACACTAAAGTTTGAATTTAGATAAAAGACAACATTCTGTTAAAATAATAATAATAATAATAATAATAATTAAGGATGAGTATTTTCAATCTCATTTCTGCCCTTTTTTTCAAAGAGAAGATGAATTTCAAGTACAGAGATATTTTTAACTAACAGATTCTACTACACATCTATGTTTATTAAAAATAATGTATTGATTTTATTCTTTTATATTTGACATATTACCGATGTACTGAAGTTTGACCACTTGAGTGGTTTGTCCAAATTATTAGAGGAAATTTGTACAGATTCTTAACAGATTTTGCAAGTGGCTTTATTATTTGTGGCTTTGACCACTTAGAGATGAGACATTTAATCATGTCTATCAACTGCCAGTGAAGAGAAAACAGGATACTACACTGGACCTCAAAAACTGGAGTTTGTGTATTATTTATTTGATTTGCCTCACTTTTCCAGGTAGGGCAGCTTTCTTTCTTATGCTGGTCTTCCAAAGGATTCTGGGCAATTCACAAAGGCAGGATGGTGTCAAACACCTCTATTGCATTTTCCTTTTCTGTTTTAATCCTCACCGAGAACATGCTTACAGAGAGGAAGGGGGCCAGAGAGAAATATTCATTTTTATAGCAGGTATACACAGTGTGACATTTTCCCTAGTATTTATAGTTCTAGCACTCTTCAGGGGTATGAAGGATAATTACTCTAAGGGTTAGGCGTTAGGGAGACCTTCAACCCAGGGAGC